AATTATTATATGAACACGAACTCTCATGCACAGAATATATGCATCTATAAAAGAGCCAATTTAATAGATGACATTTGACACTTCATCAAAATTCCACAACGTAACCTTGTAACGGTGGGCATATAATATTATTTATTGTTGCGAAGTTCGAACTGCACATTTGCTTAGTTAAAAAAAAATTGCTTTTTTCAATTACGATTACATAAATATTAATTGTAATCATGACAAAAGAAGGTAATTTTACGATTTACTTTCACTAATAAACCATTTAAACATAATAAACAATTTCTGTTCTAAAGAGAACTGAACGTCGTTACAATGTTGCGTCAGTGAACCCTTTTTATTTTTAAACACTAGGGATGTTACCTAAAAAAAATCGAAAGTTGATAAGAAGATTCGAATGAAGTGATTATGCGTACATATACTATAGTACATATACTTGTGAAGGAATATTTCACCATAAATGAATAACCACATTGTGATGATAATAAAACATATTATTCTTTTAACTATAAAAATACAAAAATAACTAAATATAAATGTAAGGAACTGTATTTTAATTTACTTTATTTTAATTGTGTTTACGTGAGGGTGAATTATTACTAGGGACGTTTACTTAAAAGGAAAGGTGGTACAATTTAGAATAATATATTTGACTATTTACACAAGCGGCAGTTGACTATAAATATATACACAAGAGGGGATCTTCTAGGGAGTCATGATTATCTTGATTCTTCTTTCTTGAGAATCTTGACTCTTCTTTTTTAGAGTCCAAAAGGCCCTTCTTATATTCCCGCGGCGGGTGTCTTGACATAAGCGTGTTCTCACACGGTGTACTGTGCGCTCATCGGTCGCTGACCTCACGTGATGTCCGGACGGTGTACGGGGTGCGTGGGGCGTAACTGGTTATGAGGGGGCGACGGGGAGGCGGCTCCCTTCGCCGTCCGTAACATTCTCCCCCCGGCGTAGTCAGCGAGCCTATTCTTCTCTCGGGAGGACAACGATCTTCCTCACCGGTCGTCGCAGTATTCCGCCTCTATTACGAACCTCCACGTTGCGCACCACGCCGTCAGGTCCGGGAGACATTCTTGTCACTATTCCCCTTGGCCACACGTTCCGCGGCAGGTTGCTGTCTGCAATCACGACGAGGTCATCTACTTTCACTTCTTGTCGCTGGGCGTGCCGAGATGCTCCGCGCGGGATCAGCGTCGGCGGGGTGACTTTCGGCAAGTATTCCCGCACCCAGCGCTTCCAGTATTCGTCGGCGAAACCCTGCGCCGCTCTCCATGCCCGACGATCGGTGGGTGAGCACGTCGCGGTGACAGGTAGATCCGGTGGTCCCAACATGATGAAGTGGTTGGGAGTTAAAGCTTCCTGGTCGTTGACGTCGACCAGTACATGGATCAACGGTCGAGAGTTGACGGTGTTCTCCGCTTCTGTCAACATGGTTCCTAAAGTCTCTTCCCTTGGGCTCTTCTGGTGAAGAGTGGCTTCCAACGTTGCCTTCACCGAACGCACGAGCCGCTCCCATGCACCTCCCTGGTTGGGCGCACCCAGAGCGATGAATTTCCACTCCGTGCGTCGAGTCAGCGCGAAGTCCTTCAGTTGCGGTGCTCACTCTTCCATCGCCCGTCGTAACTCTGTGTCTGCTCCATGAAAATTGGTCCGTTGTCCGAGTATATTACCCGTGGCCACCCGCGCCTAGTCTCCATGCGCCGCAATGACGATATATGTATAAAACCTTGAAAAGCTGAGCCCGCGTGACATAAGTGTACATCAAGTTTTTATACCAGACTGCCTCCTCGCATTCGCGTCTAAAACTGCAAGTGAATACCATGAGGAAATGAACTTTGAGGTTTTTAAAGAGTGGTTAGAGAAGCTGCTAGTCAGCTTAGAAAACCCATCGAAAATTATTAGGGACAATGCACCGTATCATTATCTACAAGTTAATAAATCACCAACTCAAGCTAATAAAAAGCAAGAAATTGTCTCGTGGCTACTAAGAAATGGTTTGGTAGCAAGTCCATCTTTATAAAAAGTTGAGTTGTTAAATCTGTTAAAAGCAAATAAGCCGTCCGAGCCCCGCTATGTAATCGATGAACTAGCCCTTGAGTATGGACACGAAGTTATACGATTGCCTCCCTACCATTGCCAGTATAACGCTATCGAGCTTATTTAGGCACAAATAAAGGGTCATGCTGGACGAAACAATACTAAACCACCCTTCAGTACTACAAAAATTCTGACTCTGCTACAAACTAACTGCCTGTGCAGAAGTCACTACAGAAGACGAGAAAGGTCGTGGAGAAAACAAAGGAAATAATTTTACAAGATTCTGAACGAGACGTGAATATAGACAATATTATTGAAAATGGATTAATACTCGTAATATCTCTAAATGCTGACAGCAGTGATTAAGATGACAATACAAGTTACAGTTCCGATAGTTCAATTGAATAAATGCTATTTTTTGTTAAATTATGTACTTGTCTTATTTTGTTTCTTAACTTTACGATGGAACATAATAATGGGGCAGGGATTCGACTGCTATTCTTTTTTTATAAAATTACGGTACCTATTCAGTTACTACAAAAAGTACTTTTTTTATAGGATAAGGGTGACAAACGAGCACACAGTCCACCCGATGGTAAGTGGTTGCTGCGGCCCATAGACATCTACATCTATCCTCTGTTACAAATCAAAATGTAGATGCGTTGTCACCCGTGAGGACTAAGATGGAATGCCTCATTTCCAGTAAAAAGGGCCTCCGGACACCTGCACTCACCAAGCGAAACGCAGAGGTAAACCTCTACTTCACGCTGGTTTTTTGTGAGGTCGTGGTACTACCCCGGTTCGAGCCGGCCCATCCGTGCGACAGCAAAAGCTGCCGCGTGGCTCTACCATTGTTAAAATCTGTGTACTTACACAAACTGTAATTTTACTCACATTTGTTTGAAGTCCGTATCGATTCATTCACTTTAGTCGATGTTTTTAAGCAGGTCACCTCACTATAAAGCTAAAACTCACAAATGTCAAATGTGATCTATTAAATTGGCTCTACTTTAAAAAAAATTGCATCCTACAACACGGTTTTAGGTGCATACGTGTACGTGGGTCCAGCATTGAAATTTTACGAGCTGATAAAGAAAGCAAGAAGATGTGTACGTGAAAACGTCGAGAAGTTGAGCATGGTTTTGTACGCTGTTCTCCGTCTATCTTCTTTGTTTGTCTGAGTGGATTATAATAAAAAATACTGTTTTCTGCAAACCAACCATCATCTTTTTTGTTCTTTTGCTATCCTGTTAATCAAAAAGTTGTCTGGGTTTTCTCTTTAATATTTAATTATAATAACATTAATTTTTTTTTATAGGATAGGGTGACAAACGAGCACACAGTTCACTTGATGGTAAGTGGTTACTGTGACCCATAGACATCTACATCTATACTCAATAAAGACTCAAGATGCAGATGCGTTGTCACCCGTGAGGATTAAGATGGAATGCCTCTTTGCCAGTAAAAGGGGTCTCTGGTTCTCTACACTCACCATACGAAACACAGCAGCGTTAAGCTGCTATTTTGCGCTGGTTTTCTGTGAGAGTGTGGTCCTTCCCCAGTCGAGCCGACCCATTCGTACTACAACTATACTATTAATATAGCTGCAGCATGGCTCTACCACGTAAAACATTGAATAAAATTTAATGTAATACGTTATATATTGGATTGTTCGTCTGGATAAAAATTATTATTAGTTATTATTTATAAAAATTGCCATCTTATTTCGTTGATATCGCACGTTTTGATTATCCTCTAGTACAGAATATTTTTTTCTATTTTGTTCGAATAGAATAGAATAGAATGATTTTTATTCAATAAATATACTTTATTAACAAATACTTATTGAAAGTCATTTTTAACACGTTTTTGTTACCTTGGTACCTATTTATCTATGTAACGGAATTTTTGAATGAGATTTTCATCATCTTCAAAACGTCGGATTGATTTGGAACTTCGCTTATCAAGGACCGATGACAATGCAATAATTAAAATAATTTGTCCCATTATCCTTACCAGGATTCTCAGGATTTGCGAATTATTCATAAAACAACTACTATTTGTGCCAGTTCAATCTACTGTAAGCCGTGTAAAAGAACTTCTTTAAAAAAAAAAGAACACGCTTTTGTAGTTAGCCGCATTAAAAAATAGAAAATAAATAATAGTTTAAAAAAACTAAAATAACACGCTTTTGTAGATAACCGAACTAAAAAGTATAAAATATTTTTCAATAAGATTAAAATAAGAAAATAGTTACTAACATAAACAATTCATTTCATTGTAAAAAAGCGTGGAGTGCTTTATTAAATATTTACATGATGACGCTAATTTTACAAATATCTACAAATATATTTACAACAAATGACATCAAGCAATTTATTTATTTACACCACTTTTATATTTGCCTTGCTTAATAAAAAAGGCTGTTGTCACTAACTAGATGAAATTAGTTTTCTGCCGACTTCCAAAAAGGAGACGGTACTCAATTCGACTGTATTTTTTTATGTGTGTTACCTCATAACTTTGTACTGGGTGAACCGATTTCGATGATTCTTTTTTTATATAAAAGCTGATAGTTCTCGTGTGGTCCCATATGAATTTGATCAAGGTCAGACCAATAGTTTTTGAGTTACTCTTAAATAACTTATATTGAAGTCGGCTGTACAAAATTTTAAATATTAAATTATATTTAATCATTTTAATGTTCCGTGAGTCATTTAATATGAAAATTTGTATTTTTTTACTATTGTGCGAGCTAAGTCCATCACCGGTTGAGCAGCAGTACATTTGCAGCCTAGCTCTATCACTTAATTTTGAACACGTGACCTTGAGACTACATTTTAAAATGTATATAATTTATAAGCATATAACAGGTGTTGTTAGATAGCTACGAGTATATAACTGCGCGAACGAGTTTAAACGTTGGCAGAAGCGCTTAGTTTATCAAGATGATTAGGTCTATTTTATTCTTAAGCTATTGCATATTTTACGGAGTAAACGCAGGTGAATAAATTTTTATATTTTTAAATACTAACTATATAGACTAACGAGATAACATTACACTTAATGGTAAGTGCGTGTGCGTATGCGTCTTATGTTACCGTTACAGTCCACTGTTGAACATACGTCTCCCCCATACAATTGCCTCATAGAGGGATATTTGCCATACATGATACGCTTGCCAAGCGGGTTGGCAACAGAAGTTTTTTTATACTTTTGGTCTTTTAGCCCATCTCATGATTTGTTTCCGTCAATTGCCTGTTACGACACCCACGGGATCATATAAGGTACCTAGTCGATATTTTTACATCGCCACTGCACCGTGAATCATTTACACCAGGAAAAAAAAAAGACCACAAATGGTATATGACTTCAAAGAATAAAGATGGAGTATTTGTACTGGCTCACACTTTAAATCTAAACACAGCAAACATACTTAAGAAAATAATATCAACCCGGACGGACGCAATGGCATGAAACTCTACCATTTGATATTTCGTATATAATTAGTTTTTCCTTGTATAATAATAATTGTTTTGTATATTATAAATAACAATAATTATTTTAACATCGGTCGTGACGTTAAGGTTGCCGGTTCAATCGCTATCAGCAAGTTTACTGACTAGCAGCGTAGCAGCCAGGCGTATTTTGTGTTCCGAAACCATAAAATGACGAAGAAAGGGTCACAACTGTTTAGAAGTGGCTGCTCAAATATTTCGGCCGCCGCAGCCTGGCTGCCGCAGCCAGGCTGCCTAGTGCGCGGGGTGCCTAAGCCATAAGTTAATTCTTTGTTATACTTATAATCGAAGAGCTACTCCCAATTTTGTGGGAATTTGCCGCCACACTGCAGAATGGTTAATAATGACTTTCCCAATGAGGGTGCCGCTTAATGTGCAACTCAGAATGATCATAAAATAATTTAGTATTATTTAATGATTTCTTATTTTTACGCGAATACTACACATTGAATAAAAAACTATGTTTACTTATTTTCATTCCCGACGTTTCGGGTGCTTTATAGCAACCCATGGTCACGGGGGGGGGGGGGGGACACTAAGATGATGATGAGACGTCCCGATGTCATAGGTACCTTCAGTTTTTGAATATTAATTTTTGGTTCGATCTACGCAGAATGAGCTTACAGTATCTTGATGTCTTGCAGTGGTATGCTTGGGTTTGGATTTGATTTTGTTAATTATAGGATTCCAAGCAGATTGCATCACCCATCCATCTTCTCTATTGAATAGGATGTTTTTTAATTTCAATAGCCTCGCGTATCAATCTTGGTAGGAAGGAATAGGTGTTCTTTTGCGAGGATTTGTGCTCTATCAAACCTGATGTAATAGCGGGGATTGGGTTGTAAAGCACCCGAAACGTCGGGAATTCAAATAAGTAGGTAAATTAAATACAATAAAATCCGTAAACATAGTAATATTATTTATTTATTATTTTATTTATTATATTTTTATACTCGTTTCTTTCTCTACGATAAAATGCTGTTAACAACGTAAAACGTGTAAAAGTGTAAAAGATTCATTCATTCATTACACTTTATTAAATGTCCATTGCTATACACCCACCTGTTACAAAACGCAATTACTTCATTGCGTTTCTTTTTCTTCAATTAAACGCGATAAAATACTTAAAATTAGTTTAATTCAATAAAAATTAAAAATCATGCGACACAACGTTGGAATCTTGATTTTAGGCCCTAGTAGAACATCCTACGCGCTTGGAATGCAATATAAATATGACGTATTCACGTAAATATATGAAATTATTATTGTTATGAGGAATACGCCGCCGCCCATCCCCTGCTTTGTTTCCGTCTGTCGCCTCTCACGACGCCCACGGAATAATTCGGGTTTAGTAATTCTATTACTTTGCCAGTACACAACAAGCCGTGAACTAAAAACCGTGCACCTATTTATATAAAACAGGATAAGTTTAAAAATTAAAATGCATTGATACCCCTTGAGGACGGAGACAGAATTTCGTTAGCAATAAAAGGGACTTCCCGTTATCGTCACTGCGTAACGCCATCATTTCCTGCTATTAGGCACTGGTACTCTGTGATAAAGTTATGAAATACATATATATATATATATATATATATATATATATATATATATATAAATATTGAATAAAACTACTTTTACGGATTTTATCGCGTTTAATTAAGTTATTTTATATTCCCGACTTTTCGGTTGCTTTCCAGCAACCGTGGGCACGGTCAATTAAACGCGATAGAATCCGTTAAAGTAGTTTTATTCAATGTGTAGTGTTCGCGTAAATATAAGAAATCATTATATATAAATATTTTTCTTTCGACTATTTATTTAAATAAAGGACATAATATATAAAATAAAATAAAGCATAGAACTACTTAATAATCAAATGAAATTAAAACATAAATACTTCTAAATTAAATAATAAACAAAGGTAAAAGTGTTTTACAAAATTATACCGTCTCTGAAGATTAGAGAATAAAATAATTTTCAGTCTGAGAATTTAAATTTCTAAATTTTATAATATTTATTTTTCACTCTTAAATTTAAATAATTAATTAAATAACTTAAAAGTTGCATATTATGATTTATTGCTATATTAAATTATAATGTTAAAATTTTTGGGTTTTAGATGGTTTATATTATTTAGTTAACATTGTGTGTTATCGAAAAACTCCTGTAACAATAACGAGTTCAAGGTGACAACTAAAACGCCGTCTATATTACAGTTACATTAAAAATGTCTTCCCCTATTTGCCAATACCACCACCACAACCACCATCATCACTACCACCACCATCACCACCACTACCACAACAGTAACATGCTCAAGGTGGCAACTAAAACGCTGTATATATTATAGTTACATTAAAAATGTATTCCCCTATTTGCCACTACCACCATCACCACCACCAGCTCCACCACCACCATCTCTAAAACCACCACTACCACAACAATAACAAGGTTAAGGTGACAACTAAAACGCCGTCTATATTATAGTTACATTAAAATGTCTTCCCCTATTTGCCACTACCACCATCACCACCACAACCACTATCGCTGCCACCGCCGCCGCCGTCGGGTAAAAAAAACTTAATAAAAATAAAAAGCCGACTTCAAACAACTAAAAAGAATAAAATTATTTCACATTATGAAGCTGGTTCTTAACACCAGCTTCAGAATGTGAAATTATTTTATTCTTTTTAGTTTCTTAAAGGCCTTTACTTTTTATTAAAACATTTTTTAACCAATAACCTTCTTCCATTCATTATTTTAGAAAAAGTAGGGCTCCTACGAGTCCAAGGAGGTTAATAATCTCTTATCTATTTTTGCCTCTAAGGAGCAATGCTTATATTGTTGTATCGGTTTAAAGAGTATAAAGAGCAATAGCCGTTTGCAAGGCAATATTATCGCAGCCTTCAGAGCTGACGACGGACCTGGACCTTTTTTTGTTTTATGTTCGTTGCGTTTTCATGAGCGCAGTTGCCGATTACCGTCAGGATGTCTTTTAGCTAGTTTGTCACTCTAATATTACTTGCTAATATTATAATTTAAAATTAAAAAAATTTGTACAACCGACTTCAATATAAATAATAAAGAATAACTCAAAAACTATTGGTCAGACCTTATATGGGACCACATGTGAAGCACCAGCTTTCAAATAAAAAAAGAATCATTGAAATCGGTCCACCCAGTAAAAAGTTATGATACCTCATAACTTTACACACATAAAAAATATACAGTCGAATCGAGTACCGTCTCCTTTTTGAAGTCGGTAGAAAAATGTGAAAGATAAGTTTATACGTAACATTATTTATTATCTTTATTTTATATTTTCAATATTAATGTTATGAAAAATATAAAGAGAGTGAAAATTAAATCTGCTTCTCTTTGAATATACGAGGTGCCATGCTGCAGCTATATTACTGGTATAGTTGTAGTACAAATGGGTCCGCTCGACCGGAGAAGGAGCACGCTCTCACAGAATACCAGCATCAAATAGCAGATTAACGCTGCTGTGTGTCGTATGGTGAGTGTAGAGAACCGGAGATCCTTTTTACTGGAAACGAGGCATTCCATCTTAGTCCTCACGAGTGACAACGCATCCGCATTTTGATTTATAATCGAAGATAGATGGAGATGTCTATGGGCCACAGCAACCACTTACCATCAAGTAAACTGTGTGCTCGTTTGTCACTTTAATCGTATAAAAAGATCGGGCCTGCTGGAAGAAATTTGAATATGAAAAAAAGCAGTTCCTTGGTACAAAATATCTTTTTATATTTACAATGTAACAGTTCTTTGTGTGTAAATACATTGTCAAATAAATAAATTCATATATAAATACCATACATACAAAAAATAATACAATCGTATATTGTTACCGCCTCCTTCTTTGAAGTCAGCTGAAAAGGCGGAGGATAGTTATCTTCCTAGGCGGATTCCCCACAAAGAGCTGAATCTATTGTATCACTTCTAAGACGTACTAAGGTAAAACGCATTATCGTCATCATTATCATCAGCTTGTGGCAGTTCACTGCTGGTCTGATAGTGCGTGTAGCCCATGCCCGGGCTAAGTGATACGCCTTGCAAAAGGTAATTATAAACATAGGCCTATCTGAAGACGCGCCACTTAATCCTGACATCGGCTACACGCACCAATTGGCAGTACTCAGTTAATAATTATGGTTTAGAGTTTATTATTATCATATCCTAATATATAACAGTAACGTTTATCAAGAATTCGCGAGTGCATTTTGAATTTACGAGGTACTCGCAGACAAAACTTTTTTTTTATAGAATAAGTTTGACAAACAAGCATACAGTCCAACTGTTGGTAAATGGATGACGTGGCCCATAAACATCTACATCTATCCTTGATTAAGAATCAAAATGAAAATGCGAGGAATAAGATGGATCGACACATTACCAGTAAAAATGATTTCCGTTTTTTTTATACTCACCTTCCGAAAAACAGCAGCTTTACGCTTGTATTCAGTGAGAGCGTGGTCTTTCCCTGGATGAGTTGACTCATTCGTAATACAACAATAATATAGCTACAGAATGGCTCTACCACGTATAAAGTAGGTGCTCCAACATAAACGTAAGTGTCATTTATTTATGTTATTCTCTTCTTGTTCCAGGATATTATTCAAACAATGAAGAAGATCAATTGTATTCTGGTATTTTAGCATACATTTTTGAATATTATGCGCGTAATATAACAACGGCCTATAAAATACTAAATGAATACACTGGACAAAATGACAGAAGTATTATTCCGGAAGAGACAGGAAGCAGTACAATTAAAGGTGCATTAGTACTTCCAGGTAAGAGAGGATATAACCTACCTACTAACTTTTCATGTTTGTTTTTATACTACATAAGATTGATGAACGATCAAGTATGTACTACATGTTCGTTGTTGCCGGTAAGTGGACGCTGTGGTCAATAGACATCTATCATTTATCGTTTGAGAATCAAAATGCAGATTTTATCTATATCTTGCACATTTTAATCGCTATAATGCTTATTTTATTATTTACATAATTGTATACTATTTTCGTAAAATCTTATGATTATAAAAATAATCCCGCCAGTACTTTGCTCGTTCTTCCCAAGACAAATGTATTTTTCGAATCCGTGGTAAATACATAATTGACTTTCTTATTGGAAGTTATTATGTAATATATGTATGTGTAATATATATTGAATAAAAATATTCCATTTAATTATATTCTATTAAAGAGGAAGAAGAAATATACAGGGTTATCTTTCAAAGACTAGCCAAATTTAATATTAGTTATTAAATTCGGCTAGTCTTTGAAAAATAACCCAAAAGTTCAAAATATAAATTACACTTTTTGCTGTTTTCAAAAATACGCGTAAATTAGGTTTCTACATTTATTTGAAAATATCCGAAATTGAATGTGATTTATGGGCACCAACAGCGCGCGCTCGTGTGTGTAAGAGTTTAAGAGTGTTAGGGCTCGTTCCGACGACACGCACCCGATACGCGCACGCCACGCGCGTCTACACCCGCGTCTAACTGCTTTGAAATTTGTTGCATATAATTTGAGTCTTATGACAAATCAATAAATCTGAAATTGCATTTATCGACGTTCAACCGCACACGCCTCGCACACGGCACGCGCCCGCCTCGTTCCCGCTTCGAGCTGATCCCGCGCTCACCCCGCACACGCACTGCACCCGCCCCGCTACGCCTAGCGTCAGCGCTTCGGCTAGTGTCGTATAGAGATGGGCGTTACCGTTGCTTTCATGCAATGATTTAGGGCGCGTTTCAACGACACGCACCCGCTACGCGCACGCAACGCGTGTCAGCACCCGCATCTAACTCGCTTTGAAATTTGTTGCATATTACTTGAGTCTTATGACAAATCAATAAATCTGAAATTCCATTTATCGACGTTCAACCGTACACGCCTCGCACACGCCACGCGCCCGCCTCAGTCCTGCTCCGCGCCGGCCCCGCGCCTGCCTCGCGTAAATTGAATCCTGGACTTCTTTCTTCACAGTTCTTTCCCTTGTAATGGTACTTCCCATGTCCTAGTAATGACCTTAATATGTCATTACTTTGGCCTCGTTTAAGGTGTTCACTATAGTCTTATAAATTTTATCTAAAGCCTTTATCTGGTCTAGATAAGTACACACACGGTCATAATAACGATAAAACTCCGCCGGTAAATACATATTTCAAAATTTCGAGATACAATATTCCTAATATTTATCTATTTGATGTGGTTTGCTTTAACCCCATACTTATTTTACTATTATATATTAACTATATTTTTGAGATCTTTGACTTCACAATTGCTAGATCACAAGTAATACGTAAAGGAAAATTATCCGACCAATAAATGTAGAGCAAAATATCAATATTATGAAAAGTTTGATATGTGGCCAGTGGCGTAACTACTCAGCGGCTAGGCGGAGCAGTGCCCCGGGGCCCCCAAGCTAAAGGGGCTCCTCGGTCTCCAAGAACAACGCTCGAAAAATTATGTACTATGCTAGTTGTATAAAGAATTTTCGAATTTTAACGTTTTGGCCTCTAACCACGAACGGCTCGAACTGAAATCACAAAAATTACTCCCACTACCAGAACATAAATATAACATTGTTAAAGATAATTGTCTACTTCGTTTCATTGTCTTTTTTATATAGAAGAGGGGGACAAATGAGCATGCGGCGCACCTTAGGGCAAGTGTTAACCACCACCTACTAACAAATACAACACCAGGGGAATTGCAGATGCGTTGTCGGCTTTTTTAAAAAGAAGTAAGCTCGTTTCTTGAAGATGTCTAAGTCGTATCGGTCCGACAGTAGTGGACCGCCAAACATCCCGATGATGTGAATTCGTGAAATGCGTCGATTAAATTTTGTGGCTGGAATTAATCCGCACCATTCCTCTGAATACTCCCCGTGGTAAATGCGCTAGAAAATGCAAAGGGATGCAACATCTCTCCATCTCGTCTTTCGCCTTCGTCGGTCGTCGACGATTCGAGCCACTCTGCGCTGGATGCGGCTAAGTGGAAGGAACTGGTACTAGGGAGCCCCAGCCCAGGGATGAGAACAGTATTCCATCTTAGGCCAAACCTGCCCCTTGTAAAGTTGCGAGCAGTGTGCCGGCATAAAATACTGTCCCGCTCTGCTGGGCATTCCAAGCTTTTTATAGGGCTATTCAGCCGTCTATTCCAATTTATCACGAAACTGCACATTATTCGATATGTTAACGCCGGAAATTCAGATACTGGCTGAGGTAACAAAGCGAGCGCCCTGAAATTGAGGAGTTACGACAAAGGAGTTCCTTTTAGTAGTAAACGCGCAAACTTGTGTCTTTTTTACATTGAAATTAATTACATTTAGTTGCCCCAATGCGAGACCTTATCCGGCAAAGACTCGACTTCAGACACAGGTTTGTGGTATTCGGCGACGTTTTCCCGAGAAATATAGGCACAGTCGGTGTATAAAACATCACGTGCACGTTACTGGTTTACAAAATATAATTGATAAGCAGGAAGAAACGATAGCTAGATAAAAAGATGATAGCTCGTGGTCTTGTGGAACACCAGCATAAATAGGCTTGTAAATGGAGCATGCACCTTCTACTAAGACTTTGTTGCTCTAATCTGCAAGAAAACTGCTGATCGAGTTGCATAAATTCTCTAGAATCCCATAGGAAGGGAGCTTCGAAAGAAGCGCTTTGTGACAAACCCGATCGAAGGCCTTCGCTATGTGCAAACTGACAGCCAGGGTCTCCCTCTCTACCTCCGCCGATTTATGAGTCAGGTAAGACAGAAGATCACCAGCTGAGCAACCCCGACGAAAACCGTACTGATAGTAACTTTGCTTCTTTTTTTTCGTAGGTGATCCTCAACCTCTTGAGCTGACAGTTCACAATGGTTTTCATTATTTAGGAGAACAAGTTGCATAGATCTGAGCGGTCGATTTTCGGCTATTTTTTAGAGATCTGGTGCACTAAAGCTGTCTTCTTTGAGTTCGGCACTACGCCTAGGGAGAAAGAGTTTTAGAAAAGACACGTTACGACCCGGTACGAACTAGGGAGCACACGTCTTCAGCACAATGTGAGAAACTTGACATATAGGGTGAATAGTGCTATGCGCACCGAGCGCTGTGTAAACCGTATTGTACCGATCTGAAGCCGAAATTATACTTATTTTTAACAGCGCTGGTGAAATACTCCTATTATTGCGCGATGCAATTTTAAAGGAGCGAACAAACCAGGCCCCACAGATGATAGAATAAAGAGTTCTATACCCTGAAGTACCACATCAGCGACAAAACCACATTGGGATCATCCGGCGAGAAGCATACCCATCCCTGTCCTCAAGGGAAAGGTGCAAAAAAGTCCGGATCAGACAATGATCCAATGAGCCAAGAGAGGCGTCGACGGAGAGATCAGCAGAAGGTCCAACAGGGAAGGTGCAAGATCCTCCACATCTAGAATCTGCGTAGGCGAAGTAACCATTTGATTAGACCCATATGCCAAGGCAAAGTCATAAACGAAAAGTCATGAAGACCTTCCCGTATGATCGGTTAAACGAGAACCAAACCATTCAGCGTTGTGGCCGTTTAAATCACCAAGGATCACAATCTCTGCAGATGGGACCTGTTGTAGCAAGGAGTCTGCAGTAATTTGGACGTGGTAGATGAGTTGGTCTGCGTGGGCATTACCTATAGAGGCACTCATCCCTGACCTTCAAGATTGCCGAGGCGTTGAGAACAGATTTCATCTCTGACGTATACGCAAACTCCAGCCCGAGGCACAAAGGTGTTCTAATTTGTACCCCGGATAGGAGAGAAGTATCGACCGGAGAGGACACCTGCGGTTAGAAAGAGCAAAGTCGACTTCGCCTTCTTTGGATGCTACAGATGAACTTTGTTAACGTTCGAATGAATTCCCCTGATGTTGCAGAAATTCACGGATAGCGTGGCAGGGGGCACCTTTATCTTATTGCCCTACTTCTGCTTGCCACGAGCAGTATTCGTTTTGTGTAGAATTTCGCCCCCCCCCCCTTCCGGGTATGCGAGGCAGCCTGAACACCCACGCTAAGGAAGGGTAGGGTGCTGGTACCCTCCTGGGATGGTTTCTTATTTCATTACATTACCATGTTAAGGCAGAGAGCGGTTAGGCCTCCGACCCGACCCTGCACTTACCAGGTGAAGTTAACTTCTACTTCACGCTGGTTGTCCGTAAGGTCGTGGTACCTTCTTGGTTCGAGCCGGTCCACCCATTCATTATATTAATTCATTTCATGTCTTACCAGGTCGTCACTCCATCTAGTCTGGTCCACCCGTGTGACAGCAAAAGCTGCCGTATGGCTCTTCCAATGTTATGTTGTCTGCCTATATTATTAACTGTAATCTACTTCATCATTGTTTATAAAACAATGATGAAGTAGATGAGCATAATAAAGCAAAGCTACTTACTACTAAGTAAGTATTATGTGTATAGGATTTATGCAGGGGCGACAAGGAGCTGATGATGAAGTAGTTTTGCACCTTTAAAGTATATAGTTTAGTTTAAATAGGGCTACAATTTCGTTTTTGCCCCAGGGCCCTTGGTTACATAGCTACGCCACTGTATGTGGCAGTAGCAGTCACATATATACGTTATACATTATACGCTATTTCTTCTGCATATCAATGATATGTTGCTAACTGGTAACATTCATTGCTATGCGGATGACAGCACTGGTGATGCTCTATACACCGGCCGTGCCAATATTTCTCGGTAAAACGTCGCCGAGTACCGGAACAAACTTGTGTCTAAAGTCGAGTCTCTGCTGAACAAAGTCTCGGATTGGGGGCGACTAAATCTAGTCCAGTTTAATCCTCAGAAGACACAAGTTTGCGCGTTTACCGCTAAAAAGAACTCCTTTGTCGTATCTCCTCAGTTTCAAAGCACTCCCCTTCTTGCCTCAGCTAGTATCGGAATCCTCGGAGTCGACATATCGAGTGACATGCAGTTTCGTGGTCACTTGGAAGAGAAAGCCAAATTGGTCTCTAAAAAGCTTGGCATGCTCAGTAGAGCGGGACAGTATTTCATGCCGGCACACCGCCTGGAACTTTACAAGGCGCAGGGTCGACCTCACATGGAATACTGTTCCCATCTCTGGGCAGTGGCTACGACTTAGGAACCTTCAAGAAGAGAGCGTACTCCTTTTTAAAAGGCCGGCAACGCATCTGCAATTCTCCTGGTTCCCCTGGAGTTGCAGTTATTCATGGGCGGCAGTAGTCACTTACCATCAGGTGAGTCGCACGCTCGTTTGCCCCCTCTCCTATAAAAAAATTTGATCGAGCTACATATATAGATAGAACTAGTCACAAAGAGATCGATTCTACTACCATGTTTCTTTTATAGGATAGGGTAACAATCGAGCACACAGTTCCCCTGATGGTAAGTGGTTGCTGCGATCCATAGACATCTATATCCTCAATAAAAAATCAAAATGCAGATATGTTCTTACCGGTGAGGATTAAGATGGAATGCCTCTTTTCTAGTCAAACGGCTCTCCGGTTTTCTAAACTCACCATACAAAACAAAGCAGTGTTAAGCTGCTATTTTACGCTGGTATTCTGTGAGAGCGTGATGCTTTTCCGGTCGAATCGACCCATTCGTGTTACAAACAATATGGCTGCAGTGGCCCACGTATTAATATAAGCTAGAACGACAAAAAGTCCAGACAATACCTGAACTCTTATCTATGCTCTCTGCAACTAATAGGCCATTCGTGCTACAACTACATTACTAATATGCTGCAACATGGCTATATCACGTAGAATATGAGTCTCTTATAAATGTAAAAGAGTAAGAGTACATACTGAGCTTGTCCATATCAATGCACTGTCAATACCGATCCTGTGTGGATGAAACTTTAATAATTTGTCACCAAACAGCTCACCTGGGTGAAATCGCCGACACGTATAACTGTTTCTCTCATGTATTAATTTAAAGTTCTATAAATTATTTAATGTTTTTGTGAATAATTTTTGAAAGTAGCTACAGTTACCCGAACCAACTTCAAAGAAAGACCGCTATATGTATATGTTACTACTTTTCATGACTAAGATAGAATGGCTCTAAGCCTTTAATGCTATATCCAACCATATGACGATATTTAATTCCAGCATTGAATTGATAGCTATCTCGATTCTATCAGAGGTCATAAGATCAGGAAATCTAGTTATAAATCAATATCTCGTTCCGTAGATGTCTTATTTAAAACAAAACAAAGTTATTTAGTTTGTAGATTTCGTCGTAGAATTTATAGGTGGTAGGACTCATTTTCTTAATAGGAGTCCGACTTGATAGGTACCACCCTCTTAAACGGTTTTGCCGCCAAATAGTATATAAATATTAACGTAGAGCTTGCCGTTGCCGCGAAGTGACGGTAAAGAATATCCACTACCCCATATTTTCCCGTAGGTGTCGTAAGAAGCGACAGTGAGTAACAGACAGGACTTGGGCAGCGGCATCATCCCGATAACAGCAATATTACAATGAAAAAACTGCGGTTGCCAACCCGCTCGCCAAGCGTGGCAACTATGGCAAATACACCCCCCCCCCATGATAAAAGTTACGAAGAGACGGCCTGCAGTCCCCGGCGGCCCTACTATCCCTACTAGACAAGTTACGCTGGCATATTATAGAATTATCCGAAGTCCGTAGGGTGAGGGAGGACACGGTAATCCTCGAATCCGGCAACTTGTTCTATCACCAGGAAGGCGACTATCTGTCTCAAGAACGTGTCGGATTTATCGTCCACAAGTCTCTCGTTAACAATGTTCTAAAGATTATGAGTGTGTCGACAAAATACTCAGAATTACCACACGGTATTTGCTGTAGGTCATACAGATTTACGCACCAACCTCGGCACATTCCGATGAGGAGGTGCAAGAAATGCATGAGGACATCTCTAAAGCCATGCCTTCCTCTAAAACCCACTATACGGTATTAATGGGAGACTTCTATGCAAAACTAGACACAAGAGAGAACTCACCATTCTCTCTTGTGACTGAAGGTAGGTAAATTCTGAATATGGCAACGGAACTCAAGGGGCCAGTAGCTAGCTGACTTCATGGAGAAGCAGGTACTCTTTATGATGAACTCTTTCTTCCAGAAGCTGTCCCACAGGAAGTGGACTTGGTCGAGCCCTGAAGGTTCGACAAAAATAAGATTGACTTCATTATGACGGCCAGACGACAACTATTCAGTGATGTCTCAGTGATTGCGAGGGTGAAAACTGTTAGCAATCACCAAATGGTTAGAGGCACACTGAACCTAAACGTTAAGATGGAGAGGTATCGTCTAATGAAGTCAACGCTTCGTCCCCCTCGTGCTTTAATCCAAAGTTCCGAAACCTTTCAGCTCGAGCTACAAAACCGTTTTCAATGCTTAGAAGATTGCAATGCAGTGGACGATATGAATGAAAAGCTTGTGGAAACTGTCCATGTAGTCGGAGCTATGTTCTGCAAAACCCACCACAGAAGAACACAAAAACTCTCCGATCACACTCTTAATCTCATGGCAGTTAGACAGGAAATGTAGCTGCAGTCTTCAGCAGATTTGCCAGTGTACAGGCAACTGAACAGACAGATCTCCAAATGCATGCGGCGGGACTTATGCAACTTCAATACAGCTTTATTGAAGAAGCCATCGAGCGGAACCAAGGCTCCAAAGTCTTTGCCATAGATCTGTCTGCCAGAAAGAGTCAACTGTCGAAGCTGAAGACCGAGTGGGGCAGCGTCGTTTCCGGGACATCTGAGATTTTGCGTGAGATTGAGAGGTTCTATGGGCAGCTGCACACGTCATCATTAGAGCCAAACGCAAGTATGAGTAATGATCCAGGAGCAAGTCTTATCCGACACTATTCCGATGATATCCCGAACGTCAGTCTGAGCAAGATTAGAATAGCCAAAATGGAGAGCCCTCCAGCACCTTAAAAACAGCAAGGCCCCAGGCGAGGATGGAATTACAGCGGGACTTTTGAAAGCGGGTGAATTATATAGAAAGACGACAACGCTCTCTTGAAAAACTAAAGACCAATTTCCTTTCTGAGCTACGTCTACGTGCTGTTTTCGAAATCATTACGAATCGTCTCGCACGCAGTCTCGACGACTACCAGCCTCCCGAACAAGCCGATTTACGAAAAGGCTTTAGTACCATAGACCACATACATGTCCTTCGACAATTTGTAAAGAAGACCGAAGAGTACAGTGTGTATGTGAACCTTGCGTATGTGAACTATGAGAAAGCCTTCATCGAAAAAGATTCCGTCGAAATTTGGGCGGTGCTACAGTACCTTTAGCGGTGTAAAGTTGACTGTCGGTATATTGAAGTGCTGTAGTGTTTGTACAGTTGGTCTATGATGGCTATCCGAGTACAGAATCAGAGTACCAAATCTATTCATCCGTAGAGAGGTGTAAGACAGGGTGACGTTATATCTCCGAAACTCTGCTGCGACCGCTGCATTGCAAAACTTTTCAAGATATTGAACTGGAAAGTATACGGTATTAACATCTATGGCGAAACATCATTCACCTTCGATTTGTCGACGATATAATCCTTATAGCAGAATCGCTAGAGGACCTAAGCACTATGCTTAATCATCATCATTACAGCCTTTCATAAGTCCACTGCTGAACATAGGCCCCCCAAGGAATGCCACAAAGCACGGTCCTGAGCCACCTGCATCCATCGACTTCCTGCATGTCTTACCAGGACGTCACTTCATCTCGTGGGGGGTCATCCTACACTTCGCCTACCGGTACGAGGCTGCCACTCAAGAACCTTTCTTCCCCATCGGTTGTCGGTTCTTCGAGCTATATGGCAGGCCCACTGCCACTTCAGCTTACTAATCCGTTGGGCTATGTCGGTTACTCTGGTTCTACTACTGTTCTATGCTTAATAGTGCCTCCTAACGGATATCCATGTCCCCCCTATGCCATAAGTTGTTGGGAGCATTTAGTCCGAAGTTGTTGACGAGTATGTTTACCTAGGACAAAATAGTCCGAATAAGTAAGTCCAACTTCGATCGATAGGTCAATCGACGGATTCAGCTCGGCTGGGCAGCGTTCGGGAAATTACGACACATCTTCTCGTCAGGTATAACTCAAAACCTGAAAACAAGACAATACAACCAATGCGTGTTGCCAGTGATGAATTAAGGATATCTGAGACGTGGTCCTTTACTGTTGGCCATATGAGGATGCCCAAAGTCGCTTAGCGAGCTATGGAGAGGGCTATACTCGGGGTTTCTCTGCGCGATAAGCTTAGAAATAAGGATATCCGTAGTATAACCAGAGTGATCGACATAGCCCAGTGGATTAGTAAGCTGAAGTAAAAACGGGCCGATAATATAACTCGAAGAACAGACAACCGATGGGGAAAACACCTCGTACCGGTAGGCGAAATGTAGGGTGACCCCCACTAGATGTAGTGACGACCTGGTAAGAAATGCAGGAAGTCGATGTATGCAGGTGGCTCAGGACCGTGCTTGGTAGTATTCCTTGGGGGAGGCTTATGTTCAGCAGTGGACTTGTGATAGGCTGTAATGATGATGATGATGATAATCATAGAGCTTGCTGTGTTAAATCGACATAAAGCAATACTAGAAATAACAACATCTTTTACAGACGAAATGATGTGTACTCAATGTAATGAGGAGCTGAAATGTGTGAAGTCATATCCACCGGAAAAAACATGTCAAAATCGTGATATTATATTTGATTGCACTGATGACGACACAGAGGGCTGCAAAAATGAATGTGTTTGTAAAGAGGGATTTTATAGGAACGACGAAGGAGATTGTGTGACAAGCGAAATGTGTGGTAAGAAAACAACTATATATAATTAAAATTTACATACAATATAATTTTAATATTATATTTTATTAACTCACAAAATTCACATGATGCCTTAGGTAGTTTTTGCGATCTTTCCAAGGATTTCGATTGTGTTTATCATAAGATATTAATCAAGAAATTACAACATTACGGTGTCAAAAATATTGCGCTTAGATTTATTATTTCATACTTAAATAACAGAACTCAAAAAGTCGTAATCAACGGTGAAGGTTCCTCCAAATCAGTAGTGTCCAATATGCGTTCCTCGGGGCGTTTAATTATGTTATAGGGACCAATTACGATGTAGTATTATTAGCTGATGATATCTTTTTAATTTTCAAACTGAAACGGCAGTCAATTAATTTTGACAATTTAAATTATGCTTTAACGAACTTAGTACATTAGTTTAACACATTTAATTTGTTCTTAAACGGCAATAAGACAAAGTGTATTAAATTTCAATACCTAACGTTAAACATTCAAATACCAATGTGCTCTTAAATAAAGAGGAGTAGAGTCTTGTAGATACACTGTTCTTCTTGGTATTACTATTGACGCGAAGCTTCAATGGGGCCCTCGTATATCTTAATTAGCAGGCAGACTTAGTTCTGCATCATATGCTGTAAGAATGGTTAGAAGTCTCACGTATGTTGAGGCAGCTAGATTAGTTTATTTTAGTTACATTCATAGCGTATGGAATTTTGCTATGGGGTAATGCGACTGACATCGGAGCCATATTTGTTTTGCAAAAGAGAGCCGTACGAGCGATTAATAACTTAAAATGTAATGAGTCCCTAAGAGAAAATATTTAAGAAACGAAAGTTGTATGTATCTAGTCAGGTCATAAATTCTGTCACATGTTTAATATAAAATAATTGAAACAAGTTTATTCATTATGTAACCATTTATATACCAAAATGAACTTAACAAAACATAGATTCTTATGACACTAAAGTTTATTCAAAATGACCTCCGTGATTTTGAATACAGGCCTTCAATCTGCGCGGCCAGTCGTCTATTGCAGCACAAACGAGGTCCATGTCAATATCGGCGGCTGCCTTAATCAAGGATGTCTTGAGTGACTCCAAATTGGGATGATGCTTTGAGCACGCCTTTTCCTCCAAGTGTTGCATATCTTGTAATCTAACGCATTCAAGTCTGGACTGGAGGAGGGCCAGTCTTCGTGCCGGATGAAGTCGATTTCACGCGCCGCCAGCCAGTCTTGTGTGCTCTTCGCTCTATGAGCTGGCGCCGAATCTTTTTGAAATACCCAGTGCCTGTTATTGAACATGATATGAGAAACAGAATCCACAAGGTTCGTCAGGACTGTATTTTGATACACAACTGCATTCGTTTTTACATCTTTCTCACAAAAATGTACCTCTGTTAAGCCCCAATAAGAAACTCCCAACCATACCATGAGCGAGGATGGAAAGTGACCTTGTTGGACACGCGGAATACGGTTGCTCGTTTCTTCACTACTGTGTGCGTACACCTTATCATTTTGTTTGTTGTAGCTCTCTTCTACGGTAAAAATTTTTTCATCCGAAAAAAGAATTTCTCGATATTTTTTTCCCGCGTACCGCTTCAACAAAGCGCGGTATCTCTTCAGTCTCAGGTCCATTAGACGTGCATTTAAACGATGTCCTGTTTTTCTTCGATATGCCCGAAGCCCTAAGTCTTCATTTAACACCCTTTTCACCGTGGTTTTGCTTAACCCCATCTGAAGGGCCAACAGTTTCTGCTTACGTTTGGGATTTCTTTGAATTCGCGCCTTCACAGCTTTTATCACTGCTGGAGTCCTAACAGACCGAGGGCGACCACTTCTTGACCTGTCATCTACACTAGAGTCTTCATTATATCGTTTGGTGGTACGATAAACGAATCTTTTGGTTATATTCAAATTTTTCAGTATGTCAAAAATTAGAATTGGCGCGTAACCGCAACGATGCAACGCAATAGCTGCAACACGGTCTTCTTTAAGCGTCCACTCCATATTTAAAAATGAGTAAAATTAAAAAAGTATACAGTTTTATTTTCATGAACTTTTTTGTGGCCAGCATTCTAAAATAAAAGTTTTTACTGTGTGACAATACTTATGACCTGACTAGGTATGTACATAAAAACATACATAGCTTTGATAAGAATAAAGATGTTCATACTTTAAATACTAGGAACAAACATAAGTATTTAATACCAGTTACTAGACTCCACAGAATAAGTATACTCTTTTACAACAAAATTTAAGAAAATGTACAAAATTTGGCAAGTTTTGTACATTTTCTGTTAATTCATCTCAAGCTTAAATGTTTATTAAAAAGAATTGTACAAACAGGTTTATTATAATATCAAATAATACATTAATGAAAATAACCCCTGGGATTGAGGTGAAGAAATTTCTGAGGTTTAAAATTTCAGACAATCGAATATTTAGTTTATATTTAATACAATATGTGGTGTAATATTTTTTGAGTAACCCCCTGAGATACAATGTTTGCTACAATGAAAAAATGTCATAGTCGCATTATAGATAACGTTTTCTATAGACAATAGGGTATACAACAACATCCCACGTAACGAGATGTGAAAATGGATTATTCTTCTGCCGTTATCACACGGAGAAAACTAAATAAAGCAATAATAACAACATCTTTTACAGACAAAACGATGTGTACTCGATCTAATGAGGAGCTAAAATGTGTGAAGTCATATCCGCCGGAGAAAACATGTCAAAATCGTGATATTATATTTGATTGCACTGATGACGACACAGAGGGCTGCAAAAATGAATGTGTTTGTAAAGAGGGATTTTATAGGAACGACGAAGGAGATTGTGTGACAAGCGAAATGTGTGGTAAGATTTAAATAATATTTTTAAAGTCAGTAGTCATACGAATTCTATTCTAATAAAAATATTTGTAGACTATTATAAATTACACGCTAAAGTTCTTGCTGGTTCTTTGCAATGAAAAACATTGCCTTGCCCAAAAATTAAATAGTGAAGTACAGAAAAATGATAAAGTATTGTTAAATAATAATTTTAATTGTGTTAAAAGATGAAAACTATTGTTTAATGATGTTGGCTGTATTGATCGGATCTAGTTTGAACTCTACTTTTTCCCCAGATCTCTAAGAATATTGTCAACATCGATTACGCGTTTTTTGCTATAGATTTTGTAAAACCGACTAAGATATTTGGCATCTGATAGATGTGCGAATAAAGCTATTTCAAGTATTGCTAGATAAATATTCAGTTCACTTTTAATGTTGCACTTTTCACGTAAACAAGCGCGGAGTCCACCTACGGTAGAAACAGCGGAAATAATGCGTGCATCGGCAGTTTGCTTTCTCTATCTGCTTGTATGAACCTACTGCACTCTCGTTCACTCTGGTTGAAAGTACAAGCGCAAAGGAATTTTTGTAAGGAGATGATGAATTTCTGTGTAGATCAAAACTGGACATCATCATCACAACCAAAGTGGCTCAGTACCGTGCTTTGTGGCATTCCTTGGGCCTATGTTAAGCAGTGGACTTGTGAAGGGCTGTAATGATGATGATGATGATAGAGCTTGCTGTGTTTTGGGCCAAAGGGTATAGAGAGCGAGAATAAATACAGGTTTGGATGCATTCCATCTTGGACATTCAGTGGTGACTACGCGTCTATAGCCGTTTTTGTTTCAATGTGTTTTCAGATGTCCATGGAATATAGTAGACTGTAAGTTCGAATTTTAATATAAAATGTTGTAGTCGTTTATTAATAATATTTTCTATAGACAAAAAGGTTAACTACAACATCCCACGTAACGAGATGTGAAGACGGATTAGTCTTCTGCCGTTATCACACGGAGAAATCTAAATAAAGCAATACTAGTAATAACAACATCTTTTACAGACGAAACGATGTGTACTCAATGTAATGAGGAGCTGAAATGTGTGAAGTCATATCCACCGGAAAAAACATGTCAAAATCGTAATATTATATTTGATTGCACTGATGACGACACAGAGGTCTGCAAAAATGAATGTGTTTGTAAAGAGGGATTTTATAGGAACGACGAAGGAGATTGTGTGACAAGCGAAATGTGTGGTAAGGAAACAACTACATATAAATAAAATTTACATACATTTATATAAATTAATTTTATATTTTATTAATTCACAAAATTCACATGATACCTTAGGTATTTTTTGCGATCTTTCCAAGGATTTCGATTGTGTTTATCATAAGATTTTTATCAAGAAATTACTACATTATGGTGTCAAAAATATTGCACTTAGATTAATTATTATATACTTAAGTAACAGAACTCAAAAAGTCGTAATCAATGGTGAAGGTTCCTCCAGATCAGTAGTGTCAATATGTGTTCCTCGGGGCTCCATTCTTGGCTCATTCATGATCTTAATCTACATTAATGACTCACCTTATGTTATAGGGACCAATTACGATGTAGTATTATTAGCTGATGAAATCTCTTTAATTTTCAAACTGAAACGGCAGTCAATTAATTTTGACAATTTAAATTATGCTCTAACGAAATTAGTACATTAGTTTAACATATTTAATTTGTTCTTAAACGGCAATAAGACAAAGTGTATTAAATTTCAATACCTTACATTAAACATTCAAATACCAATGTGCTTTTAAATAAGGAGGAGTAGAGTCTTGTAGATACACTGTTCTTCTTGGTATTACTATTGACGCGAAGCTTCAATGGGGCCCTCGTATATCTTAATTAGCAGCCAGACTTAGTTCTGCATCATATGCTGTAAGAATGGTTAGAATTCTCACGAATGTTGAGACAGTTGGATTAGTTTATTTTAGTTACATTCATAGCGTATTGAATTTTGCTATAGGGTAATGCGACTGACATCGGAGCCATATTTGTTTTGCAAAAGAGAGCCGTACGGGCGATTAATAACTTAAAATGTAATGAGTCCCTAAGAGAAAAGATTTAAGAAATGAATATATTAACTTTGGCATCGCAATATATAAAAAGTTGTATGTATGTACATTAAAGCATACATAGCTTTGATAAGAATAAAGATGTTTATACTTTAAATACTATGAACAAACATAAGCATGTAATACCAGTTACTAGACTCCACAGAATAAGTAATCCATTTATGGAGCAATGTATACTCTTTTACAACAAAATTCAAGAAAATGTACAAAATTTGGTAAGTTTTGTACATTTTCTGTTAATACATCTCAAGTTTAAATGTTTATTAAAATAATTGTACAAACAGGGTTATTATAATATCAAAGAATACATAAATGAAAATAACCCCTGGGATGGAGGTGAAGAAATTCCTGAGGTTTAAATTTCAGACAATCGAATATTTAGTTTATATTTAATACAATATGTGGTGTAATATTTTTGAGTTCGCCACTGAGCTACAATGTTTGCTACTATGAGAAAATGTCATAGTCGCATATAGATAATGTTTTCTATAGACAATAGGGTATACAACAACATCCCACGTAACGAGATGTGAAAACGGATTATCCTTCTGCCGTTATTACACGGAGAAAACTAAATAAAACAATAATAACAACATCTTTTACAGACGAAACGATGTGCACTCGATCTAATGAAGAGCTGAAATGTGTGAAGTCATATCCGCCGGAGAAAACATGTCAAAATCGTGATATTATATTTGATTGCACTGATGACGATACAGAGGGCTGCAAAAATGAATGTGTTTGTAAAGAGGGATTTTATAGGAACGACGAAGGAGATTGTGTAACAAGTGAAATGTGTGGTAAGATAACAAACATATAAAACTATATTTACATATATTTATAAAAATTAATTTTATATTTTGATAACTCACAAAATTCACATGATGCCTTAGGTATTTTATGTGATCTTTCCAAGGGTTTCGATTGTGTTTATCATAAGATATTCATCAAGAAATTACAACATTACGGTGTCAAAAATATTGCGCTTAGATTTATTATTTCATACTTAAATAACAGAACTCGAAAAGTCGTTATGAATTGTGAAGGTTTCTCCGGATAAGAAGTATCAGTATGCGTTCCTTGGGGCTCGATTCTTGGCCCATTCATGTTCTTAATCTATATTAATGATTCACCCTATCTTGTAGGGAAAAATAACGATAAAGTATTATTAGCTGATGATATCTCTTTAATTTTCAAAGTAAAACGGCAGTCAACTAATTTTGAAATTTAAATTATGCTCTACAGCAATAAGTACTGTAGTGTTTGCATATATGTAGTATACAATAAATATTGTTATTTGTTTTATTTACTTATAATTTACCATACACAAATACACAAACATACATTTATATATAAGTCACTGTCTCGAGCACACCACGTGAGTTACACGAGAGCCTCGGGCGAGAGTGGACGTGTTTAGTTAAAGTGCGTGCCGAGCCTGTGTTACACTACAGTGATTAGAGAAGATAGCAGACATTACAAGTGGCGCGGAGGACAGGATAAGTACCTATTTAGTATAAAGATATAATCAAATATAGGCTAACAATGTGCAACTATTAGCATTGCAATTGTAAATTAATTCCTAGAGTACCCGCGGAAAAAAAACTGTGGATTATGAATTATGATTTATTATTTTTAACCCTGTTCTGATCATTTTAATAATTTATATAAATTATATGTTCGCATAGGACCACGCTTATGGTGAGCAAAAATTTATTTTCTTTATGTAGCAATGATAAAATAATGATTTATTTTCACATATGTCTATTAGCACAACTTTTATTTAAAAAGATTTTTGATGGAAAAATAGTAGATGTAACTAATCACTCCTCTCGATTCGAACCGAAATACAATGTCGTTAGCTAAATTTTAGTGGCATTTTACATGTAGGTGTGATATTTATCGCCTGTAATGAAAATACTATTTTACTGCTTTCATGGCATATATAAGTCTTCACGACTTCTGTACATTGCAAAGTAGGTAACTAAACTCAAACTCAAACTCAAACATTTATTGCTAAACCATAATGTACACAAGATGTTATTAAATAATGTCAGACTAGTGTTATGGACCCTGTTGTGCACGCAATTTAGGGGCTAGGAGAGAGGAAGCCTATTTGACTACTTATAAAAATGTCATTGTGATTTATTGAGAAAGAATTCAATTTAAATTAGTGATCATTTTGTAAAACCTATAAGTATTACATATTTGTTAAATATTCATTAGTACTATAGTAACATTTATTAGTTAGGTACTGTTTTAATTTTTTTGTAAATATGATGTCATTATTTTCATTTTTTAATATGTCAGGTAGTTTAATTAACTACTATTTATACTATTTAACTATTATTTACTAGTAATACTGTAAATGCGCAATATAGGTATTGAATTTACCCAAAGCCTAAATGGCACAGCAATGGAAGTAGTCGGTATAACAAATAAACCGAAAGAGAAGGGCGAGTGTTATGGAATATATTATTATCATGAAATTGAGTTTGGGTACCAAGATACCAACCATTAAATTGGTGTTGGGTACTAAGATACCATCATTAAATTGAGTTTGGGTACAAAGATACCATCATTAAATTGAGTTGGGTACTAAGATACCATCATTAAATTGAGTTTGGGTACTAAGATACCATCATTAAATTGAGTTTGGGGTACTAAGATACCATCATTAAATTGAGTTAGGGTACTAAGATACTACCATTAAATTGGAGTTAGGGTACTAAGATACCACCATTAAATTGGAGTTAGGGTACTAAGATACCACCATTAAATTGGAGTTAGGGTACTAATGTACCACCATTAAATTGGAGTTTGGGTACTAAGGTACCACCATTAAATTAGAGTTTGGGTACTAAGGTACTGCCATTAAATTGGAGTTTGGGTACTAAGGTAGGTACCACCATTAAATTAGACTTTGGGTTCTAAGTTACTACCATTAAATTGGACTTTGTGTACTAAGTTACTACTATTAAATTGGACTTTGGGTACTAAGTTACTACCATTAAATTGGACTTTGGGTACTAAGTTACTACCATTAAATTGTACTTTGGGTACTAAGTTACTACCATTAAATTGGACTTTGTGTACTAAGTTACTACTATTAAATTGGACTTTGGGTACTAAGTTACTACCATTAAATTGGACTTTGGGTACTAAGTTACTACCATTAAATTGTACTTTGGGTACTAAGTTACTACCATTAAATTGGACTTTGGGTATTAAAATAACAGCATTAAATTGGAAAAAAATATAAGAAACTGTTTCAGTTTGCCCCTAAAATAATAATAATAATGATACCGTTATCGGCTTTAATGTGATAGCACATCTATGGCTATAAGGTGTGAAAAATGGAAAAGGTCTCTACTAATCTATCTGGACGCAGCTGACGTTATATCAGCACTCAAGAAACAAGCTACGCTATTGCATTTTGGGATTAGTTTGGGCTCTGGGATACAAGAAATATTCTACAATTTACCGGGTGCCAATGTCGAATCATCAGAAGCCGTCGATGTATTTAAAATAGCCATAAAAAAACTCTACGACTATTTTCAACCTAAACGGAGCAAAGTTATGAGCGGCATGTTTTTCGATTGCTAAAACAGGAAAAAGGAGAAACATTTGAGAAGTTTTTGATAAGATTGCGTCAACAGGCCGAAAAGTGTGCATTCGAAAAGCAAGATGATCATTTCATAGATCAAATTGCGGAAAGGTGTAATTCGAAATTGCGCAAGAACCTTATATCTTACAAAACGTGGGAAGAGTTAAAAAGCAAAAAAGTATATGCTTTTAATTAAATGTAAAGACCAGACAAGACATTATTAACATACGGTAGTAACTCTCCTTTGGCAATAGAGGGTTCATTTGAAACTATACTCGAAGTCGATGGACGAAAGGAACATACAACCATTTACGTGATTTCGGGGGGTACTAGAGACCTGTTTGGTAAGAACACAGCAGTCCGTCTGGGTGTCTTAAAACTTGGTATCGGGATAAATCAAGTGAAGAGTACCGATCCCCATTAAAGAGAAGGTTGCAATCAAAATTAAGAAATCACTAAACAGTGATATAATTGAAGAAGTGCAAGGCCCGTCTAAATGGGTTTCACCAATGTTCCAATCATGAAAGAAAATGGTGAATTACGTTTGTGCGTAGATATGAGACGTACGAAGGCCGTTATATTGCGAGAAAAACCACCCCCTGCCTACTATGGACCATTTTTGCCTTAAATGAAGAAAGCTAAATATTTTAACAAATTAGACATAAAAATATGCCTTCCATCAAGTGGAAATTCACTCTGAATCCAGACACATAACGAATTTTATAACCCCCAAAAGATTAATGCTTGGAATTACCTGCGCTTCCGAGATTTTTCAGAAGATCATTGAAAGGATGCTGATAAACTGTGAAGGGGTCGTCAATTTTATTGATGATATCCTGGTATTCCGGAACAGTGAAGAAGAACATGACGCATGACTAAAGAAAGTTCTACATGTACTTAGTAAAAACAACGCCGTGCTGAATAGCAATAAATGCATATATAAAACGCAGGATGTGAATTTTCTGGGACACAGGCTTACACATGAAGGAGTAAACCCTTCAACAAGTACTTTGAGAGCATTGTGAAATTTAGGGTCTCAAAGAACATAGAAGAACTCCAAAGTTTTTTAGGACTCTTAAACTACATAAACAAATGGATACCTAACTTGGCCGCCATGACAGAACTTCTGAAACACCTGATAAGACAGAAGATTAATAAAACAAAAAAAAAGACAGAAGATGAGCAGAAGGGAGATCTTGTAAAAACAATGGTCTGGGGAACAAGATAAAGCATTCCAAAAACTCAAACGGATGCTCACGGAAATACAGATTTTAGGGTATTATGACGTCAGAGATGCAAGACAGGTGATAGCAGATGCTAGCCCTGTCGGACTTGGTGCTGTCCTTGTACAAAATGATACAAATGGCCCTAGAATTATTGCCTATGGTAATCGAACTTTGACAGACTACAAGCGCAGGTATAGCCAAACGGAAAAAGAGGCACTAGCATTAGTTTGGGGGGTCGAACATTTTAATATTTTTATTTGGAAAGCCTTTTGATTTAGTCACTGACCACAAGCCGCTAGAGATATTGTTCAGGTCTAAGTCAAAACCATGTGCGAGGATTGAACGATAGGTACTGAGGCTACAGTCTTATTCATTCAGGGTTATATACAAGCCAGGAAAAACAAATATAGCTGATCTCTTGTCACGATTATGTAACTGTCCTGATAACCCACCAAAAGGAAAAGACCAGCATGTGTAACAAATAGTGGAAAATTCTAGACCAGTTGCTATACCAATGAGTACCATTGTAGCATATTCAGAAAAAGACCAAGAGATTTACAAAGTGAAAAAGTGTCTATCAGAACGACTGGGACGATTCGATTAAGAACTACAAATTTTTTGAAAACGAGTTGTGTTTCCATTATAGCATTCTACTTCGTGGAAATAAAATTGTAATACCACAGCAACTCTGCAAGAGTGTATTAGATGCTGCATACGAGGGTCATCCAGGTATCGTAGCGATGAAGGGACGCTTGAGATCAAAGGTATGGTGGCCCCGTATCGATAAAGACGTAGAACAATTAGTAAAGGCCTGTAAAGGTTGTACGTTAGTGGGTTTGCCAAACCCAACTGCACCAATGAAGAGACGAGAGTTGCCTGCAACTCCATGGATAGATGTCACAATGGATCTAATGGAACCATTGCCAAGTAACGAGTATCTGTTAGTAGTGGTCGACTACTATAGTCGATACAAAGAAGTAAACAATT